CCCTATGACCCAGCAATTGCACTACTGGTATTTACCCTAAAGATACAAATGTAGGGATCCGAAGGGGTACGTGCACCCCAATGTTTATAGCAGCAATGTCCACAATAGCCAAACTATGGAAAGAGCCTAGATGTCCATCAACAGATGAATGGATAAAGATGTGGTATATATATATAATGGAATATTATGCAGCCATCAAAAAAAATGAAATGTTGCCATTTGCAACAACATGGATGGATCTAGAGGGTATTATGCTAACGAAATAAGTCAATCAGAGAAACACAAGTATCATATGATCTCACTGATATGAGGAATTCTTAATCTCAGGAAACAAATTGAGTGTTGCTGGAGTGGAAGGGGGTGGGAGGGATGGGGTGGCTGGGTGATGGATATTGGGGAGGGTATGTACTATGGTAAGTGCTGTGATTTGTGTGAATATGTGAATCACAGACCTGTACCCCTGAAACAAATAATACATTATATGTTAATTTAAAAAAAAAAGATGTGTTGTATACATATACAATGGAATATTACTCAGCCATCAAAAATGTAATCTTAATATTTGCAATGATGTAGATGGAACTAGAGGATATTATGCTAAGCAAAATAAGTCAATCAGAGAAAGACAATTATCATATGATTTCACTCATGTAAAATTTAAGAAACAAAACAGAGGATCATCATAGGGGAAGGAAGGGAAAAATAAAATAAGATGAAATCAGAGAGGGAGACAAACCGTAAGAGACTCTTTGCTATAGGAAATAAACGGAGGGTTGCTGGAGGGGAGGTGGGTGAGGGAATGGGGTAACCGGGTGATGGACATTAAGGAGGGTATGTGATGTAATGAGCACTGGGTGTTACGTGTAACTGATGAATCACTGAACTCTACCTCTGAAACTAATACACTATATGTTTATTAATTGAATTTAAATAAAAGAAAAAGAAAATTTTGGAAGTTGTAAGAGCATAAAAAAATACTTGTTAGTATAAAGCAAAGAAGGAATGGGGCACGACATCATTCCATAAAACCTAAAAGTGAGTATAATTTAATAAACGCATGGCATTTACTGAGACCTGCTATGTACTAGGCTCTCTTCAAACCTTGTCTTATGTAAGAATGACATTGTTGTGGACTGAATGTCTGTGTCCCTCCAGAATTCATATTTCGAAATCCTAACCTAAGCTAATGTTGATAAACTTAGCAGGGAGAGCCTGGGGGAGGTAATAGGTCATGAGGGTAGACTCCTCATGAAGGGGATGGGATGAAGAAATCCAAGCTCTCTCCTTTTGTCATGTGAGGATGTTGGCAACTTGATCTTGTACTTCCTAACCTCCAGAAAATTATGAGAAAAGACATTTTTGTTCTTCAAGCCACCCAGCTTGAAGCCCAAAGTGACTGGGACAAATTAAATACCTTTTAAATTAAAAGTAGCATGTGCAGAGGTGCCTAGCTGGCTCAGTCAGGGGAGTGTGTGACTCTTGATCTCAGGGTCATGAGTTCGAGCCCCATGCTGGGTGTAGAGATTACTTAAATAAAACTTTAAAAAATAAAAATAGCATGTGCAATATAATCCTTCCTTTTTTCTTGATTCCCATCTATTAACGCACTGTATTGCTTTAATAAAAATAAGGAAGTCTTTGTCCTTAAACAGAAGATAGCACTTAACCATTCTTTAAAAAAAAAAAATTCTCCTGCTTTACCAGTCTTCCCTCAGTTTCCCCCATCCTCCCACTGTTCCTATTTTGATTATATTTATTTCTCAATGATTATATTTATTTCTCAATTTATATTTATTTATTATATTTATTTCCTATTTTGATTATATTTATTTCTCAACTATTCATTTCTAAACACAAAATGTTCCAAGCATAAGCTTTAAACATGTTCTTCTTTGCACTCGTGTTTGTAATAATTCCACTTAAAAAACTGATTTTAGTCCCTTTTAAAGCCCACAGAGAGGGACACATAAGGACATGAGGGAGAAAATGGGGAGGGATGGAATCAACCGTAAAGGTTCTCTGGTAGCTGATTTATTTTCCTCAAGGCTTTTATCCCAGACTATAGTGAAGAGTTACATTAAGTGTACTTAAATGTCCCCCTCCCACCGTAGAAGTCCCTATGTTATGCAACATAGAGCTTTTAGGGGTGGTGGGGAGGAAAAAAGCTTAGGAAAACACACCAGGACGGAGGCCTGCCTGGTAAATAAAGAAAAGCACCAGTGAGGGGCTACAGATAGGTGTATCTGTACAGATAGGGATAGAGGACATTGATTTATTACAGAGAGTTGGCTCAGGGGATCTGGGAGGCCAGCGAGTCTCAGACTCTGCAATCAGCCAGCTGCAGACAGGAGAGCTGATGGTGGAATTCCAGTCTGAAGGCCAACAGGCTCAAGATCTGGGGAAAAAGGACAGGAGGATCAGTTCAAAGGCAAGAAGAATTTTCTGACTCAGGAGAGGGTCAGCCTTTCTGTTCACTGGTACAACCCCTTTTCCCTGGAAATCTGCAAGCCACCTGTCCTCTCCTTGCCTCCCTGCAGAAACCTAGCCTCCCTCAGAACTGCCCCACCAGAGTGGAGGGCAGACATGGGGTTCAGCTCTCAGAGGTTTCTAGAAATGAGCAACTGGCTCCCCAGACACAGAAGGGTAGTTTCTGACTAGAAAGTCCTCCTAGGATGAAAGACAGAGCCAATGTCTGGGCACGTTTGTGCAGCTGAGTGGGGTGTCTGGGGTCTTCTGTGGAGGCAGACTGAGTGTTCCTAAAGGACCCGGGGTGCCTTGGCATTGAGCTCTCTTTCTCATTCTCTCTGCCAACGCAGCTGTATTTCTCTCTTGCCATATTCCTCCTCCTCTCAGAAAGGGAGAGTCAAGAGCACACATGCCTGCCCTCCCCCACTCACTCCCCTGACACTCACAAAACCCACCATTTTGCTGTGCAATTGATCATAGAGTTTGGGAGCTAAAACATCTCCTCCAAGCTCCTTCTTTCTCGAAAAAGGAATACTGAATTCAGACAGCAGAAAGGGTTAGCCCAGGTGGAGATGGAGCATGACCTTGACATTTCTATGCCCACTGAGGCCAGTCTGTTCAGTACAGAATCTGGGAGGCCGAAATCACGGCCCTAGGCTTGGCTCCTAATGTGTGTGGGGAGGGGGCGGGGGGGGGGATCTGGGAGGAGACAGGGCCATTGCAGCCTGCAAACCTCCTCCACCCAAGCACAGGCAGACATCACCGACCTCAGCCAGCAAATTCCCTGCCAATCGGGGGCTTGGCTGTTTTGCTCAGCTTCTCTCCTCCCACAGCTGCCTCCCCGCACCCCAGCCCCGTCGCCCCTCCTCCTCTGACGTCACCCACATGCTCTTTGAGGACTGGCTCTGGGCCTAGGAAGGAAAGTCAGTCCCTGGGTGAGGGTCTGGACAGGAACGCGCGGAGAGGCGGGGCACTCGGACTGACAGCCGTCAGAGTTAAGAACGCCCTGTCTCACACGGTATCGAGTGTGTTTCCACAGCCCTGAAAAACAGCAGAGTTTTAAGTGGCAGTAAAAGGGCACAACCAAGTGTTCTGTTCATAAGGTGCTCTACCCACTACACTTTCTACCTGTAAAGAAGGAAATTATCGGGCGCCTGGGTGGCTCAGTTGGTTGGGCGGCTGCCTTCGGCTCAGGTCATGATCCTGGAGTCCCTGGATCGAGTCCCGCATCGGGCTGCCTGCTCGGCGGGGAGTCTGCTTCTCCCTCTGACCCTCCCCCTTCTCATGTGCTCTCTCTCAATCTCTCTCTCTCAAATAAATAAATAAAATCTTTAAAAAAAAAAAAAAGAAGGAAATTATCTGGGGGGACAAAGACGAACCAATGCAGAAGAGAAGATGAACAGAAAGAGAAATAAGCATAAAAAGGGAAGTGGGATTCAGAACTGAGGGTGGCCTGTGGGATCCAGGGCGGAAAGGGAGCTAACAGGTCAAAGTCGCTCAAAGATAAGTGAAAGAGAAGCAAGAGAAATATGAGGACAGGCATAGAGGTCCAGGTAATGAGATGGCTGGCTTTGAAGATGGAACCCAAAAGCCAAAGAATTTGGGCAGCCTCCAGGAGCTGAAAAAGTCAAGGAAATGAAGTCTCCCTGAGGGCCTCCAGAAGGAACACAGCCCTGTCTACACCTTGATCTCAGCCAGTGGGCTTCTGAGCTACAGATGTATATGATAATAAATGTATTGTTTCAAGTCACTAAATTTGTGGACACTTGTTATTGCAGCCATAGGAAGGGAATGCACTCCCCGGATGGTAAGGAGGCGATGTGCCAGAGGCTTCATAGTCTAGGTTTATAATAGCCACACCTTTCTTTCTCTCGTGCCCAATATCTGCCACCTATTTGTTAGTTAGTAATATTTTTAACACCTTCCTGTTTTTTATTTAACTTATAAAACTATACATGTGCTATTTTAAAATAATTCAGTGGTTATGAAGATAAGTATCAATAGCCAACTCCTTCACTCTTAGCCCTGCCCCGTATATAAGCCTTGCAAGATTGTTTTCTTCTTATAAGAATGTAACCGTATGCTCCATTCTAATGCAACTTGACGCTTTTAATTAAAAATGTATCTAGGACCCGAAGATTTAACTCTTCCTTAGAGATAATTGCGCATTATCTTATATAAAAATATATTATTGTATATCAATTGCTCACTTGTTCATAAATTGTCTTAGATTTATTTTTCAACAAACTGCCCTGCCGCGCTCCCTGGACGGGTGCTGGGGTCCCCATGCCGGATTTGGGGCCGCATCTTCCTGCAGAAATTGATACAAAGGGAGGCCTCTACGGTCCGGGGACTTCGGGCCAGGCTCCGCCCCAGCGCCGCGGCCACCAATCAGCTCCCGGGACGCCCCCCCCGCCCCCCCCCCTGTCTGCCTGAGACTTTCCACGTCCCCAGCCTCGGCGGCCGCCCAGTCCCTTCTCACCTGAGAAGCTCCTTCCCTTGGGGAACTGCCGCTGCCCCCTCCGAGCCGGTCCTCTCCGCCCCGAACCCGCACTGCAGGGAAAGCGGGGCAAACGGTAAGTGGGGGTCAGCGATGGATTCTGGACCCAAAGAGGCCTGAAAGCGACACAGGCCACAGCCCGGAGCGCTGTGGCCCGGGGGTGGGGTGGGATGGGGGCACGGGGAGACAGAGGGAATGCCCGTGGAGACTGTGCGTGCTGTCGGGTAGGGAAGGATGGGGACTGGTGTGGGGCCTCTACTTGTCCTCAAGGGGAGGGTGGCAGACGTGTTTAACATAATTCCTTGCGGTTTACCTCTCGGATTCTTCTCTGCTGTCTCCCTGCAACTCGGTCTCTATTTTCTTCTTGCCGCAGTGTTTGTCTCCCTTGCTTGTCAGGAGGCGATGACCTTCCCCCTCCCCATTTTCTTGTGCTTTTTTTGTGCGTGTGCTCTACAAGGAGCCATTGAGATTTGAGCTAAAACGAACCCCGGAGGTAATGTTACCCCATCTCCTGGGGCGTTGCTTTTAAATTATCTGGCTGTTGCTGGCCTCTGCAGGACCACTCCCACCCCCCACCCCACCCCTCGAAAGCCTACTCCAGTGCTCTAGGCGCCCAAAGGCTCTGAGTGTGTCTGCGCTTGGGGAGGGAGGTGTGGGGTGCGGGAGGGGTGGTGGTAAGAGTAGGTGCCGTGAAGGGGGCGGAACGTTAGTCTGGAATGTGTTTGGCCTGCAGCTGTAAGTACTGGATTATACAGTTCCCAGGTAAACAGCTCGAGCTGGCCAGTGAGTTGGGTAAACCTGCAATGAACGGAGAAGGTCTTAAGTATAGGAGAAAAAGATTTATGAACCAGATAATCATGAAATTCTTTTTTTTTTTAAAGATTTTATTTATTTATTTGACAGAGAGAGACACAGTGAGAGAGGGAACACAAACAGGGAGAGTGGGAGAGGGAGAATCAGGCTTCCCGCAGAGCAGGGAGCCCAATGCGTGCTCTATCCCAGGACCTGAGCTTTCGGAAGGCAGACGCTTACCGACTGAGCCACCCAGGCGCCCCCAATCATAAAACTTCTTGAAAGAAGTTCAAGTTCGATTAGACATAAAGGACCGAACGATCCATCTAGCAAACCACCCATCCATCCATCCATCCTTTCTTTGATATTCCAAATTATTTATTTGTCCATTGACTTCATTTCAATACCTTGCTTTCTTTTTTGCTTTGGTTTTTTTTTTGTGTGTTTATTATAAAGGGGTATATGAAACGTCTAGAACGGTCTAAAGAATAATGAACAGAATGCCTGACTATCTCCTAGATCGAAAAAATGGCACTGCAGTACCACAGAAGCCCCCTGCGTGTCCCCCTAAAGCCCATCCTTTCCCTTCCGTGAGAGGTGACAGCTGATTTTTGGATTAATCATTTCCTTGCTTTTCTTTATAGCTTTGTGATTTGTGTGTGTATTCCAAAAACATGTATGTACATGTTTGCTTTCCCTAATTTTTTTAATTTTCATATTAATGGCATTATACTGTACATACTCAAGTTTTTGAGATTCACCCTTGATGATTCCTTCATTTTCACTGCTTATGGTATGAGTATACTATAATTTATCCATTCTACATTTAGGTTGTTGCTAGTCTGGGAAATGTATTAGTTACCTATTGCTGTGTAACAAATTACCCCAACACTTAGCAGCTTAAAATAAAAACCTATTATCTCACAGTTTCTGTGGGCCAGGAATCCAGAAAGAGCTTAGCAGGGAGTGTCTGACGCAGTATCTCTCACCGGCTATAAGCGATATCGTCTGGTACCACAGTCTTCTCGAGGCTGAGGATAGAGGGAACCCCTTCCAAGCTCCCTCAAGTGACTGTTGGCAAGCCTCTTGGCCTCACTGGCTTTGGTTGGACACATCAGTTCTTTGCCAAATGGGCTTCTGTTTAGGAACTAGTCACAACATGGCAGCTTGCTTCCCCCGGGATAAAGGCTCCCTGAGAGAAGGAGAGAAAAAGATGAAGGCCAGATTCTTTTTGTAACCTAATCTCAAAAGTGACATGTGATCTTCTATTAATTAGAAGTGAATCACTAATTGTAGCCCACACTCAAGAGAAAGGGCTTACACAAAACCATGGACATCTGGAGGTTTTAAAGGCTGCCTACTACAGGGGATATTAACAAATCATGTTGTTCTCTAACATTCTTGTACATGCACAGGCTCACTCTGGTTCCCTGGATTGCACACCCAGGTGCAGAATTACCAGGTTATAAGATTGGTGTATGTGCAACTTTATTCGGTTATTTCCAACCTGTTTTCAAAGTATTGAGCTGGTTTTTACTCCCTCTAGCAATAGACAAGAGTTTCTGTTACTCCACATACTTGTTATAACTTGGTATTATCAAATTTCATTTTTAGCCTGTCTGGTGGGCATGAATAGTGTTTCACTGTGATTTTAATTAGCATTTCTCCAATAACTAATGAAGTGACCATCTTTTCAAACATTGGTGAACTATTGTGCTTTCTCTCTGAAATCCTGGTTCCTGTCTTTTACTCATTTTCATATTGGGTTGTTTGCCTTTTTCTTATTGACTCATTGGAATGCTTTCCTTATATAATGTATAGTATAGGTAATCAATTCTTCGTCAGCTGTACATGCTGCAAATATCTGCTTTCAATTTGGTGCTTAGCTTTTCTTTCTCTGTATGTCCATATCTCTCAGCGAACTAAGTTTTGAATTTTAATTTCAAGTTACCAATATTTTCTTTTATAAAAAGAAAATTGGTTTCTCAAAACAGTAATTTTACTATATTTACCTCTAAAAGCATTTATAGTTTTGCATTTGGCAATTTGTCTTAATCCACCTGGAAACTGATTGTTATATTGTTTATTCCATATGGATAATCAGTTGTCTCAGCACCAGTGATCTGCAAGAATTCAGTTTTTCATATAAGCATGAATTTGTTTTAAGTTTCCTAATCCTGTAGTTATCTCAAGATCTTACCATTTTTAAAATTTTTCTTCAAGAGTTTTTAGCAATTCTTGTATCTTTGATCTTCCATATAAATAAATTTTTTAAAGATTTTATTTATTTGTTTTAGAGAAAGAGAGCATACGGGCAAGGAGAGGGGGAGAGGGAGAGGGAGAGAGAGAATCTCAAGCAGACTCTGCACTGAGCATGGAGCCTGATGTGGGGTTTGATCCTGTGGTCCTGTGATCTTTTTTTTTTTTTTTTTTAAAGATTATTTATTTATTTATTTATTTGAGAGAGAGAGAATGAGAGACAGAGAGCACGAGAGGGAAGAGGATCAGAGGGAGAAGCAGACCCCCCGCTGAGCAGAGAGCCCCCGATGTGGGACTCGATCCCGGGACTCCAGGATCATGACCTGAGCCGAAGGCAGTCGCTTAACCAACTGAGCCACCCAGGCGCCCCTTGTGGTCCTGTGATCTTGACCCAACCCAAAACCAAAAGTCAGACACTCAACCAACTGAGCCAGCTAGGTGCCTCCATATAAATATTTACATGAACTTATCAAGTTCTCCAAAACAAGGAACAAACAAGCAAATAAACCCACTGGAATTTTGGTTGATATTGCATTAATTTTATATATCAATTTGGAGAGACAAGTCCTCTTTAAGATGTTGCATTTTTCCATCTATGAACTTGGTATATAATCCTATTTATTTAACCCAACTTTAATGTTTTTTAATGTTTTGTAATATTTTTCATTGTTTTCCTTCTGCTTATGTTTATTAAATTTATTTCCAAATACACTATGTTTTTACTGCTATCGTAAATGTTTTCTTTTATAAAATTATATTTTATAGCTTATTGTTTCTGTTGTATAGAAATTCCGTTGCCTTTTATATATTGACTCTATTTCGAACATGACAAACTCCATTAATATTTCTAAATTTACCTGTACAATCTTTCAGATTTGCTACACAGGCTATCATATCATCTGAAAATCGACAGTATTGTTTCTTCCTTTCCAATCCTTATACCTTTAATTTCTTTTTCCTGTCTCACTGCATTGGCTAGGACCTTCAGTATAAAGTTGAATGAAGGTGAGAAGGGCATCTTCTTTTATCCTTAAGAAAGAGAAAGATTTCATTATGTCAATTTTAAATATTGCATTTGGAATGGTTAGTTTGTAAATGCCTTGTCCCATGATAAGAAAGTTTGATTCTTCTTCTGGGAAGCACTTTTATTATAAGTAGATGTTTTATTGAATGCTTCTTCTGTAGCTATTGATTTTCTCATATGTTTTTTCCATTTAAATATGTTAATATGATGAAGTGTAGTATTCAATCTTTAATTTTTAATCAGCTTTGCTTTCCTGGAATAAATTGTCTATGGTAAATATGCAATAACTTTTATATAAAGATAAGCATTAGATATTTGCATTTATATATGTGAATTGAGATTGGCATGTAATTATCCTCTTTGGTTCTTACTTTATTATTTATTGATATCATCTCATAAAATAAGATGGGTAGTATTCTCACTATTGCTATTCTATGGAAGAATTTGGGCTAGGTTGGAATTATCTGGTCCTTGACTATTTCCTCAAATCACCAGCAAAACCCCAGGTTGTGGAGTTTACTTTATCAAAAGGTATTAAAATTGTTGGTTCAATTACTTTAAGGATTATAGGACTATTTAGGTTTTCTTATGAGTCAATTTTCATGAATTTATTTTCTAAGATATTTAACTGTTATATATATATATAATCAAACTTAATAGAATAAAATGGTTCATAATATTCTCTCATTATGTTTAGTTTCATCATCTATTATTATGACCTGTTTTTATTATTAATGTGTGTAAATATACTTTCTCATTTTGTTTTGACTAATTTTGCCAGAATTTGGACTACTTTATTAGCTCTTTCATATACTTACACCCATACACACACATACATGAAACTTAGCTTTTTTTTTCATTAATTGTTATTTGTTTTATTAGTTCTTCTTTAATTTTTTGTTATTTTCTAAGCTTTTAAGGTATATGCTTAGCTCATATGTTTAGCACATTAAGCTCTTAAATTTGTGTCACTGCTTTTTAGCTATATCTCTCAAGTTTTGATACAAATATTTTGCTATCATGTAGCTGTATCTATAATTTTCATTATGATTTCTTATTTAAGCCATGCATTTTTTTAGAACAGTGTATTTTAATTTCCAGTTACTCACATGAGGTTTCTTTTATTATCTTGCAGTAAATGTTACCTAATTCATAATATAGTCAGAGAATATGATATCAATTCCTTTGGATTTATTGAACCTAGCTTTATGATCTAGCACATGATCAGTTTCATTTGTGCGCTTGAAGATAATGTATAGTGTCTAATTATATTAACAAGTGTGGTAATTATACAATCCAGATCTGCCATATCCTTACAAGTTTTTTATCTGTTTGAATTGTCGATTACAAAACAAAAAGTATGTTACCATCTCTCACTATGATGGTAGATTTTGAAATTTCTCATTGTAGATCTGTATATTTTTACTTTATATATTTTGAGGCTCTGTTATTAGTGAATTGGAGTAAATTGAAAATTTTAACATAATGTAAGGATTCAATATTATGGCTACCTATTAATGCTTTTTGGC